GGGAAATGGGACTCACACACTAATAATAATTTAACAAAAACTGGCATTTTTTTTGGAGGACACTCTTGTTATATATCAAACCTTTCATAATAAAAAGTTTTATTTTCAGCGGAATTTATGAAGAATATGATCAAAGAGGCACACATACCTATAAAGTAGTTATAACAAAATGAAAAAAAAATAAATTCTTGGCTTTTGAGGTTCAAAAATAATCACTTGAACACAATGGCACAGATAATAGTTGGAGAAACTATCTTTACTCTAAGTAAACACAGAAAGACTCCTCCCAAACCTTCTAAAGCGTCTCTGTGTTGGAATTAGGCAGAAGCAAGGCCAAGGAAAGTTGTAAGCAGACATTCTAGGACCCGAAAAAAAGGAGACAATGCCCTTCCCTCTCCGCTATTCCCCAGGACAGATGACATAACCCCCACTTTACAAGACAGAAGTACAAGGCCTTTCTGACTTGCTTGCTGGGATAGAGCTCAGAGAAGAAGCCTGTGTGATGAGACACATAGGGACTGAGACGGGCTGAAAGACTGCCAGCACACCTGAGTGGCACTGAGGAGGCAGAGAAGGCCGCTCCAAACAGGTTGAGATTACATTTTGATCCATGTAAAAGGGAAACTACATATGGATGTCATACCGAGTGCATCTCAAACCCACTTCAATTCTATCTTGTGATTCATATTCCTACGACTGTACAGATTAGATCAGAAGAGTTAAGGGGTTGTGTTCCATTCTGCGGTCTGCTTCAGCAAGGTGGATGTGGACTGAGATAAAAAAAAAAAAGTTTGAATTTAGCAACGAGGCATTCGGTGACCCTTAAGAGCACTGCTTCAGTCATTTGTCAGGAAAAAGGCAGATATTAAGAGTTTAAGAAATGACCACTGTGAGCCCTGGAGGCCACTTATATAACCACTCCTTCGCCAAATCTGGGTTACGTAGAGAGCAGGGGTTATAAATAACTGATGGGCAGAATGAGTTTTTATCTGTGGCTGAAGCTTAGGAAAATAGGCTTGTTCATTGACTAATTCAATCTTTTCATTATTCACTCAATCATTGACCTGGTCACTCCGCAGGTGTTTATTAAGCATTTATGTTTCTAGTTATAGTTCTTTAGAAGAACATGAAGGACAAAAGAAACTTTGTACAATACAAACTCTATTTTCAGTGTGCGTGCAATTTCTTCGTAATTTGCCTCAACATGACTTGTTCATGTATGGAATTCTCCTTTAAAAGGAAAACTGGGTGATTCGGTTGTCCGTAACCTTCTCTCATTTATTTTTTAATATTAGCACTGAGGTGTTTATATGTTTCGGTAACAATGGCTCATCATTCTCTAGGCCTGATGATGAGTCCCCAGAATACTTTCTGGCTTTGGTTCTATTAGCTTTCATTTGAGAGGGTTGGAAATTCTAGGCCAGACCTGTAGAGGCCCATTATCCCAGTGTAGGCCCTACATCTGCAATTTAGAGTTGCCACAAGAGGTGCTGTGGGACCATTAGGCTCTCACCACAGTGAATAGCTGAGACACACATGGCTGGTGTGCGATCCTGTCCCTGCAGCACCATCAGGCGTACCCTCTCCCGCCCCTGCTCTGCTGTCCCCAAACACAGTTAGCAGTTTATGAACAGCAGAATCCATGGTCTTTGAATCCAACATTTTTGCCTTGACGCTCTATCTCTGGTTTTGACAATGACTCGGATTCTTGCCGGCTCCGCAGAGTTAACAGGTCTCCTGGTTTAATCTACCTTTTACTTTGTCCTCTTCACCAGTGCACAGAACCGCTGCCTAAGATCCAGGCAGAGTGCCATGCCTCTTCATTTCTACCACTAACAGTGCTTAGTTACAATAATATAAATTACACAACTGAACAGTATAATGGAAAATAAGAGGCATCTCTTACAGAGAGATTTGAAGAAATATAAGCATGTTCGTAGAATATATTCTTTCAAACATTCCTTAAATTTGTTTTTTAATTGTTTTCCGAAACATTTCTTAACTTTTATCTCAAAAAATTGTTCTGGGTCTCTCCTTTGCCTCTCTTAGGGATATTGTGAGTGCTTATGCTTGTCTCCTGAACCTATTATTGATCTCTGGAGTGCTTTTAGTCCCTTGGGATAACTTCTTAAATAGAATAAGGCAGTTTTCTCTCTTCTTACTTTCTCTTTTAAGATAAGAACAAAAAAGCAGACTGGTTTTCCATGGAGTTCTTGTTCCATGCATCAATAGAGGCCAAACTATGTGCTCAGTGAGGATATCCACATTGACATACAAACACTTGTTAACAGGAATTCCTTGAGCTCTGAAAGTTTATAATTGATTCCTACTTTTGAGTTAGTCTATATTTCACTCTTAATAAAAGTATGTCTTATTTCAAGGTATTTTTGAATGTTATAAAAATATAATAGTGTATTTGTAAACAGTGAAGCTATTTCTATCACAGCCATATATATAAACCCTCCTTATTCAGGAACTGTCCTTTGTATCAGTTAGCTCAGTTTGAGCAGTCACTGCAGCACCAGCCTTTCATGGAGGATGACAATGTGACCCGTAAGTGACTTGAGGAGACCTAGGAAGTCTTCTAATTTTCAAGTGAAAATCCTTCCTCTATTTAAAACCTGAAAGTCTCTACAGAGGGGCCTTGACTTACGAGTGTCACGACTAACGAGTTTTTTGAGATACCAGTTGTCTCTCCGCCTTTTTTTTTGCATTGAGTTGATAGAGCAATTTGAGTTAACCAGCTCCTTAACGAGCTCGGCCTCGGAACGAATTAAACTCGTAAGTCAAGGCCCCACTGTACTTTCCTTAAGAAATTTGATGATACGTTCTAAAGGAAATTCTATACTTTTAGATCTATTCCTTTGCATTTATTTATTATTCAATCTGTATTGTTGAAAGTAATACAAATGTCCCCCCCCCGCCCCCGCTGCCTCCCTTTAACTGATTCCTGACCTATCCCAGACCTTCACCTCACTATTGCCTGTGTCCATAGATTATGCATGTATGCAAATAAGCTCTTTGGTTAATTTCTGATAGCCTCCCCTCCCCCTTCCCTCTGAGCTCCATCCGTGCCCTGTTTCCATGCCTCTGGCTTTTAGAGTTTTGCTGTGTACATTGAAACTTGAGGAAGTCATTGACATGGATTAATTTAATAAAACTTTTCAACAAGCATCTATCTGGTTAAAGCTGGATGTAATTAAGGCGGTAAGGGCTGGCAAAGAAGGCAGAGGGATATGAGCATTCTCTAAAATACATTAAAATTTACTAAGAATAGACATCCTTATCCTGAAAATATTTCTATCTTTTTCTGCTGGTTTTTTTTTTTAAGATACTCATAGAAATCAATATGGGAAGGAGGATTCAAATAATTTTGTTACCACTTCCAAAAGCATAAATAAAATATTAAGCTGGCATTAAACCATAAAAACTGAATCTTCTGTATTTATGCCATAGATAGTAAAATAATATGTTTTTATTCAGAACGCTGGGAAGAAAATAGTTCAGTAAATAACCAGATGCATACTTGTTTTGTTAGCAATCCCATGCAGTAGTGAGCCTAGGGAGCTTTAAAGTTAGTTAACTTGATGGAAGTTTTGCAACTCAGTGGCTGGTGAGCTAAACATGACTGCATTCTGATCATTCAATCGTGTTTCTATCCCCACTCATTGTGAGATATCAAAATGGATAGCATTTCTTGGTATGCCCAATTTTCTGGTTGATTACAAATCCTCTTTAAGAGAGAATTTTAGATTGCACTGCATACATGAGTTTTCTTATGATATGTGCTCTATCCCCTGTGATAGTAGTTAAATTTTGACCCTTGCAAGACTGCAAATGGAAGAAATGCCTGCCCTGGGGAGGAATAGAGTAATCTGTGCACAATCACTGCACAGTGGCCTATGCCCTGGTCTATATGAAAGTCTTTC